AAGTAATAAATATTTTTGAAAATTAAAATATTAATCATTTCCTTAAGTTCCGTGTAAAACTTTAAACGACTATGAATAAAAAATGGAAGAATTATCTGTTTACAACATTGATGTAAGTGCAATCACATTTGATATAATATGGGCAATTTGGATCAGAAGAAATCAATGGATTTCCGTTTTCTAGGGGAAAAAAAGATGGATTTAAGTAAATCTCTAATGCCCAAGGCATATTCCAAAAAAAAACTATCACCTTTATGGGTAAAAATTAGACCTCTCAAATAGGTCGAACTCTCTCTAAAGGTTCATATGGGCTTAAGATTAAAAACGTCTATCCAACCAAAAAGTCCACTTATAAGAGGTTTACAGGATAAAAAGTCCATAAAATCTTAGGACTAAGTTAATATATGATCCAATGTTTTATTTTTGTAAAAAATAATAAATCAACTATTAAAAAAATTATTATAGACAATTATATAAACTAACTTATTCTATGCATTAATTAGTCTATTTTATGGATTATTTTCAATTTTGTTTTTTTAAATGAATCTTTAAATTGTATTATATGGACTAGCTTCCAATTTTTAATTTTTTAAACAAATTTTTAAATTAAGATAAATTTATTTTAAATAAAAATAATGTTTTAACCAACATTAATATTTAAAAATTTTAATATTTTAACCACAATTTAAGATAAAAACTTCAATTAACTTAAAATAATTATTAATTAATTAATAATTACGTTTATAATTGCACAAGGATCAAAATTGTGCAATTAACTAACATACCTTATAAAAGTTACCATAATTAACTAACGTAACTTATACTAATTAAGAAAATAAAAAAAAATTAGAGAATATTTAGGATCAACCTATAAAGTTGAGTCATGAACTTATATAACAATTAGTTAAAATTATTTTAAATAATAAGTATAATTTTTAAACTCTTACAAAATTGTATTACATTCAAAAATCTTGTAATAAAAATAAGTTTGCGAGAACTTCTCTAGTTATTTTTGTTAATATATATATATATAAAATAAAAAAAATTAATGTGACAAGTGGGTGGTCAAGTCCCTTTAGGCTAATGTCCTAACTCTCTTTTTATTTGGGATTGTGTGAGTTGTAAGCTTTAAGCCCCTCCATTAAATGAAGTTAAAATAAATAGAACTTTTATGAGAAAAGATATGACAAACTCTAAGATAATGGACCAAATTAATACTTCTATTCAAAATGTTTGAATCTCTAAACTTTTTAAATATCTCTATTCTTTTAGTTTGATGCATACATGAGAAAATATAATAAAAATGTGAACTCTATAGCTAAGTTGGCCTATATTGTAAAAATATCAAGGCAATGATTAAAAAGACAAGACAATGACTATTTTTTTTATAACAACTTGATATTGCTTTCTGATGTAACAGTTTTCCCACCCATACATTGATTAACAAATGAATCTCTTCTTTCCAAAAGATTAAAAAAAAATATTCATTCACACTTTTTAACCATAGATAAATTTTATGATGTGAGTATTAATAGATTTTGTGAGCTTATCATAATATGTTTATATAAGATTTTACACTCAAATATATCAATTATTTATTTAAGTAAAAATCACCAAAATAAAAATTAAGAGTAAACAATTATTTTAGTTGCTGAAAACAAATAAAATTTCTAAAAAAGAAATTGTCAATGACTTTAGCCGATATACTTACACAAATTTAATGGCTAACAATAACTAATGGTTAATTTAATTTTGACAACAGATGATTGTAATAGGTAAAAACGACAAAAATTAGGTGTAGATCAATAATTTAACCCACAAAAAGAAAAGTGAGAAAACAAATCCTGAAGACACAAAAGACTAAAACTAGGTGACAAGAGTTTAGAGCATAAAAATCACTTTAAAAAGAAGATAATGGATAATTATTTCTAGCATGAACATCAAGGAGTTAGAATCAATATAAATTGTAAAAATGAAGATATTAATGAGATCCTCGACAAGCTCAATGAAGTTTAATATATTTTTTGGCTATTTTCAGAAGAAAAAAAAAATTATTGATTTTGTTGCATCTTTCATTAAAATATTCCAGTTTCTTTTATACCAATACTTTAGAACTTTTCTAGTTTAAAAACCTCAAAATCACTAGTGCTAGAAGGCTTTTTGAAACAGACTAAAAACCTAATTGAGGAATAGAATTCATTCCTCAAAATAATCACTTACTAACGAATGGATTTTTAGGTGTTAGTCGACACGAGAGAAAGATTTTTACACCAACAAATTCACTAGAATTTATGTATTTCTATTAAACTATCTTAACATACCTCCACCCATCAATTACCACCTTTACTTTTATCTTAAATATGATTTTTTTTGTGATTTATTTTTTTACTATTATTACTAGAAGTGAAAATGACACTTCATATTTCCATAAAAAAATAAATATTTTTTCTGTAAAAAATGAGTAATTATTATTTTTAAAAAAGATAGTTATTTTTTATATACATTATTTTCTATTTTATTTTTAAAGTGGATAGTTATTTTTTTACAAACATTTTTTCTATGTTATCCTTAAACATATATTGGCGAGGAAAAAAATTAAAATACAACATAAGAGTATAATTCTCTTTAAAAAAAAGTGAATATAAAAAAAATATATATCTCCTTTTTATATTTTCTTATAAATTTATTAGAAACAATGTAGTGAAGAGTTTTCTTTCCTCATGACCTTGCTTTAAAAAAAGGAAAAAATAAATTTCCATTATATCTAAAATGATAACACACAAACACTTCATCACTTTATTCAAAACTTTTCTAAATTAATTTTTTTATTTTAATATTGAATTTACAATTTTGACTTTTTAATCTTTAATTTTGATTTCAATTTCTCACTTTTTTATAAAATTTATAATTTTAATTCATCCATTAAATATTTATCTAGTCATTAAAATTATAGCATTTATCATGACATAATATTAAATAAATGATATGACAATTAATATTTAATAACGTTTATATTAAATTATAATATAGTCTTCATGTTAATCATATTTTCATATTTTTTTTTACTACTTTTATGGAATAAAAATAATAATTAAAAGTACATTATTGTCTTAATATCATAAATATTAATTATCATCTAATCTATTTAATATCACTTCATAATCAATATTATAATTTTAACAGACAAGAAATGTACATTTAAAGATTTGACCAAAATTACAAATTTCACAAATTTGAAAGCTAAAATCACAAAATTAAATTCAGAAAACCAATATCAAAATGAAATATTATAGAGGGTCAAAATACAATTTGACTTACTTTTATTTGAATTAAGTATTTTTTAAGTACATTATATTCTTAAAAAAACTTTCTATCTAAAACAAACAAAAACAAATTTTGATGAGAACAAAAATATTAAAAGTAAGAATATTGACTCACTCCAAACTTTATTACTCTTACACACAAATATTCTACTCTTTAGTTTTATCATAATCAATCATTAAACTAAGTTTATTACTCTTGCACACAAATATTCTAAACTTTAGTTTTATCATAATCAATCATTAAACTTTATTTTATTTATAAAAAGACACTATAACTTTAATTTTATTTTAACTTATCTTTAAACTTTGCTTATCTTGCAAAAACATCTTTAACTAAAAATTTTATTTTAATAAACATTTACTATTTATCATTTTACTATTGATTTTATTTTTTTTATCAATTTGGAGTTAAATTATTTATTTTTAATGTCAATCATTTATATTTTTTTTGTTAAAATTATTTTTCAAATATAATACAAATATGAATTTAGAAAGAAAGAAAAATAAGAGAAAGATTAAAAACAAAATAAAAGTTTATCTAATTAATTTAATTCTAAATTTTGTGATGTTTTAATATATAGAAAAATGATATAATAAATGAATGTGACTTAAAAAAATAAATAATATTTCCTTTTTTAGTATTCTAATCTCAATATAGTATGAGAAAACTATTTACAAGAAAAAATAAATTTTAAGAATTAATTAAGATAAAATTAATATTGAGATGTTTAACTACAAAAATGGTAAAGTTTAAGATTTGGTTATAACAATTAAAGTTTATAAAATTTTTAACTTCTTATGGAGATGACTATTTTTAATTTTTTTATTCTTTTGAATAATTTTTAAATTAATTAAATTAAAATAATAATACTTTGTACCAAACATCACCCCAGATAAACTTATGGTTGTGTTAATTTCGAAATATAAAAAAAATATTCAAAAATAAAAAACTTTAAACTGTCACATCATGTTTAATACACATTGACAGCATTAATTTCAGAAATATAAAATACCCGTGTCATACTTATTCTTATGATAAAAGACTAAGTTATCTTACATTCTTGTTAGAATATGATAACTACTTATTTTCACTTAATTCTCTCTTCTTTTTTTTCTTTCACTTCACATTTCTTCAACTTTTTTAATTGATTTTTTAAAAAATTACTAAATACCAACAAAATAGTTATTTTCAAAACTACTCCTTATGGTAAAAGAATCATTCTTGGGAAAAGTCAAATAAATCTAAAATTGACCATATATTCAAACCTTGGTTTTAATGAGTTAAAATGCCAATTTAAACAACTGACATCTAAACAAATAATTTTTCATATACAAGTTAGAGATTGAACATTGACCACATATTTAAAGAAAAAAAATCATCTATCAATCATGTTAGATATTATTAGTTTAATTATATGATTTTAATTATATAGCTTTTGAAGCAACTCTCCAAAACTTTAATATCATGTTACTTATGTCCCAAAATATATGTTCTGTTATTTGACCATTAAATTCTTTGATCTTTTTCATAGTTAAAATCTTCCCATTATATTTTATTATCACTTTATGATTTCCTAGTATGCACTGAAAATGCATGATTTATGGCTGGGTACCATCCGCCAATTAAATTACACGGATGGACACCACGTGACCGAGACCGCACAAATCTCCCCAACCTGCAATAATGAAAAATACCATTTTGACCAAAAACACTAATGTCAAATTCTCAAACCAACTAACCCTGCAAAGAACTATAAAACCTTCCACCCAATTGTATGAAAATTACTGCAACCCAAAATCAAGTAAAAACTAGCCACCAAAGCACTCCCAGAAAACTTGAAATGAACCAATGAAATTAATGTCCCACTTGTTACTCTACCCCTCTTTCCACCCCGTTTCTCTATGTGCAAGTTCTTTACGGTGAAACAAAAGAAGGCTTGTAATTTTTACCGTTAAAATATGCCTCTTTAGATTTAGTTCTCCCCTAAATTTCTGATCCCAATTTCAGTCTTTTTGCACTCTGTGCCCCTAAGACGTTACCAGCTCCCCACTGAGCTGGAATATCATGCAGATAGGGGCAATTGGAACCATTTCGGCACCCCCTTGAGCTTTTAAAATATATGCATGGTTTCTGGATTTTGTGGTTCACTTCTCCTTGTTTTAAGTTATGTACCGGTTTCATATCTTGGAATTTACTATGACGGATACCTATGTGTGAGTCCTGCATATCTTGCCTATCTGCACCATGTTGCCTGATGAGGTTTTTATAATAGTTGGCATCCTTTACAGCAAATGCTGAACCTGTACTTAGTTTATAAGGCACTGTACTAGCAGCTGATTGCACCTGATTCCCAACTGCGTGCAAGTTCCCAGTAGTAGATGGCAATGGACCTGGGTTTAACTCACTGGAAGATATGGATGCCACTGATGCAGCTCGCTTAGGCCCAGATGCCAGAGCTGTATCCTGCTGAGACTGGGTATTTAAGGCAGGGGACATTCCACTTGTCACATGGTGAAAATTTTTGCTGATAGACCTGTGCATATTAGGTGCAGGTGAAGGTGTAAACATTGAAACTGGGGGAGTTACTGGCTTACCAGACACAGGCCTAGACAATGGAACTGATGCAGTTACCAGCTTTTCGTGTGTAGAAGACAATAGTGAAATTGGTGGAATTGCAGCCACTGACAGAGTGGCTGGCTTATCAAGTGTAGGATTCAACAATGAAATTGATGGATTTGCAGGCTTCAACCCAGAAGGCAAAAAAACCCCTGTACTTGAGTGTGTAGCCCTAGAAGCTATCACATCAGGAGTAGATGTAGACAACAGAGCTGATGGAATAGCAGGCTTCACACCTGAAGAGGGTATATCCACCGTATTTGAGGAAGCACTTAAGGTGGTAGTTGCAGTTGTATGTTCATTAATCAACTTCTCAATTACTTTTGGATCATTGAATATTTTAACCAGTAAGTCCATATCAATGAGGCGTCCTTGCTCGTTACTACTCATAATGGTTGCTACAACGGAAGAGGCTGCTACTATATCTGCTTCCAAACCAGATGATTCCCCAGCTAGGGGCTTTAAACAGGTATCCAGAGAAACTTTATGAGAGGCATTAGAAGCTGAACTAATTGAATTTGTAGCAGACATATACTGCTGAGAGTTCTGCAACTGCACATTGGGGGAAGGGTTCACTTCTACTGAAAATTCAGGCAAAATATCCATAGATTCTTCCTCTTCAATGGGAATGATCGGGATGAGAGGAGTAATGTTATCATCATAATCTTCCTCTTCTACATTCAAGGAGACAGTAGGGCTAAACACCCGAACACAACTCAAACAATGTTAGTAACAGAATAAAAAGAAGTACCACAAGGCTTTCTCAACTAAGGTGCAACATTTTACCTAGGAGGAATGGCAGAAAGCCGGGGATAAACCGCTTCGAGCACTCTCATTTCTCTCAGTTTCTGGTCCTCTTTTTCCCTACTTTCTTCACCAGCTGCAACACGCCAATGAGAACTGACAACAAACTGCATTGAAATATAAAGAATTCAATATAGTGATAAAAGAATGATAAACAAACTATTTGGTGATAATGGTTAAAAAACAAATAAGATAGATATTGCAATAACAAGGCTAGTAACTTGCAAAATGAAGTTCTAAATAACATAGAACAGAGAACTACCGGTGCAGGGCATTCCCATTTTGTCTGGGCTATACAGGAGAGTTCAACCTTCGATTGGTTTCGGAAATGACTGCTTTCAAACCCAGGGGGTAAATCATTAGGTTCACTCATACTAGAATGTAACATCGATGATGCCTTTGCTTGAAGATGATCTTGCAATTTATGGCCAACTTTTGAGGGGTAATCGTCAGACAAGAACAATTTTACCTGTTAGGTAACACTAGTATTAGTGTTACAAGACAAGGAGTATACCTCACAAATAGGTTGAAATACATAATTAAAAACCACTGCATAAATAAGCAGTCACAGAAATACATATGATGGAAACATTAAGACTATATCTACAAATCCTAAGATATGAAATTCACTGCTAACAACATGATACAGTATATAGAGAATAAATTATAAATTATGTTAACTAAAATACAACCCAGAGCACGAACCACAAAATAAAGAATAATATCAGATGTTGCAGCCAGTTAGGCAGTTAGTTGTTTTGAAATGTTAAAATAAGAAGAGAGCAAAATGAAAGAGGACTTTAACAAATCCAAATTTCAGTTCATTTTTATAAACCATAAGCCAAACTTACATTTCAAACAAATAAGAATATTTAAATTTCATGTATGAATTCTATTTATCTCACTTCTATCTGAGAACTGCTTAATATATGGTGACTGGAACAATTTTTCAAGGTTAATGGGACACATTAAACAAATAAATGTTATAGCAGAAAAATCATTCAGAGTATCAATCTAGCTCATAATCTTTAAGCAACTAAATGAAGTTTTCTTATATTTATTGTCAGTTAACCAATGATAAAACACACAGAAATATCCAGTCGACTACTAAAAGTAAGTTTTTATTCATTAACTGATCCTATTCGATGCAAACTGCAAAAACTAATAACTAGAAGAACTGAAAAAACTAAAAATCAAATTCTTTCAATTCCAATTTGCAATGTGGCAGCTACACACAAGGTGCTGTGCTTTTGCAATGTGGTTTTATGCAGCCATTTCCCAACTCTATTCCACACCATTTCTCAGCTGTTTCACAGCACTTCTTAAGACTTGGTATTCTGTTTTGTTATGCTTATCATTGTTTTTGAATTATTGTTATCAGCTATGCCTTAACTGTTGAACTATGTTCTTAAGCTATGATTTTTGAGTATTAATGATGTATTTGTCTGAACTCTAGAGTACTTTTCAAGTTTGCGAATTAGTCATGTATATATAAATTAATTGCATTTTCGTTATCTTCGGTGAAACATTTTTGGGTTAATTAGATGCTTCCCATTGTTGTCTAAGTTTATCAATTGCATACATCTATGTCAATTTTGAGTTAACAAATATTAAGTAACTTTTTTGTTTGAGAAATATATTTTACAAGGGGAGCGTCATATTTTTTACTTAGTTTCCTATTGGCAAATATTTCTATCAGAAACAATGTTTGGATCTTTGAAAGCAAATAAACAAGACATTTTATAACTATTTGGGAAAATAAAATATGAAAATAGAAAATCCTTTTCTCAAACCAAAAAACCCATAATTTCCATTTATTTACCAATGAAATGGAGGTACAAGTCTCAGGATATTAAAAAAAAATAATAAGGACAAGGACAAGGACAACTTCCTCCTAGATTTTAATCAGTAAAAACATTTTGAAGTTTTGGGTTATGTCACCAACTTTTGCATGCTTCACATTAACCGCATTACGGTGGCAATCATCCACTCCCACGCTATTATGATTTAAGCACATTACACCTTCAACACCTGACCCAGAGAACTGGTTTACCCAAATTTTAAAGTTCCCGTTTAAAACAACCGTCTTTCATATTCACGCGTATCAGTAATTGAGATTTAGGGTTCAATTAAAATTTAGATTTAAAAGTTTTCTACATCATCAATCAAACCCTTAAATTTAATTCACCCCAATTTCCAATTTTACCGTAATCAAGCACTCTTTAAGTACATTTAAAATTAATGAGATTTTATCATCTAGACTTTAATTTTTATTTTTTTCCATGGAAGCCCTCAAAGAGTATTCTTCCTTATTCGCTTTCCAAGCATCTCCATTTTTTCTGTAATCATGCACTTTTATATATTCATGCATTTAAATTAACGAGACTTTCAAAACACACTCTCCAGATTGTAAATTTTTCCTTATTAGTTCTCAATGAGTATTCCTCCGTACTTTTTTTCTTCTCATTATTATTATATTAATTAAGTATTATTATTATTATTATTATTATTATTATTTATTAATAGTATTAGTATTGACAGCAGTGTCCTCTGTTTCTTCGACAGCTGTGAATGCATAAAATGTGAGGGAAGAACGCAGAAAACAAAACGACAAGGAAGAGCGAAGAACGCAGAAAGCGAAGGGTGAATAAACGACGAGAAACAAATTCGGGTAAAAACAGAGAAAGTTTGATAAAAGATCGTTGCGGATATACCTGACACAGGTTCACTCCAGTAGCCCACGAAACCCTGTTGGATTTCCTCAAGCGCTTCATATTAAATCCAGGATCAAAGTAAAAACACTGAGATTTACAATCGACGCAGAACAGAGATAGGTTAATCTGAGAGAAACAAAATTAGAATCGTTAACCACCAACAGCGAATGCTTCGGCGTTCCGTTTCACGTTACGCAATACAGAGAGAGAGAGAGAGAGAGAGATTTGAAAAAGAAAACCCTAGAATGAAGAGAATGGTGGATTTGGGGGTGGTGGCTAACCTTTTATAGGGTTTGACGGTGACGATAGGGTAAAGGGGGGCGTGAGATTAGGAAAATCTAAGGAGGGAGTGATGGTGGTGTGTGGGAAGTGACAGCGCATAGATACTTGCTTGCGTGGGTTAGTTAAGGGTTATCTGGCACTGCTTTTGGGCCCAATGCATTCACACTTGAGTTTCAAATAAATACACCGCTGCTAGTGCTACCAGATACCACCAATGCGCTTTTTTTTTTTTTTAATTACTAACCATGCTTTTGAAATCGACTACAGCGGAAAATATTAGCCATGGTTGGTAATGCTGATAAGTTAGAATATCATACCGGAATAAGATAGGATACGAGTAAAATAAGAATATAAGAAAATTTTTAATTTTATTTATATTTGATATTGATTAATAATGATAATTAAATGTGTTTAAATGTAAACTTATTGTTTTATTATAATTATATATAATTTTTTAGAAAATAATTTTTAATTTAATTCTTTAAAATTTTCAAATTATAAAAATATGATTTTGATTATATGATATAAAAAAAAATTTCATTAGATTATAAAAAAATATAATAATTATAACCTTATAATTATTATTCAAATAATATATATATAATTATTATTA